ATTTAAATCAGATGTTTATAAGCTGCTTGGTTTTGCAACAGTCCATGTTAATAAACAAAACTTTACAATCAAATGCACACATTTTCCATTTTCTAGACTAGACACAGGTATATGATCCCAAGTAATTAATACATATTAAATGTTTATCTTGTTTTGCGCAGTTTTCGAGTATGTTTACACAGAACTGGTTGTAAACAGCATGTTTCATGACAGAAACAAACAGCGTGGGGTCCTGTCAGATAGTGCAGGTGGTTGGCCAGGACCGATGCATACTCGCTGTTTGAGGGCTTGATAACACACTCTCCCTCCCCACTTGATGGATTGGAATTGCACTTAATGTGGCGGACCCTCCATGTGAACACGTGTGGAAGTGTGTTAGAGTTTAGGGGGTGGTTTGGAATTGGGCCAATATCTTATGCTCAGTTCCCCTTCCCAATTCCCAATAAATGGAATTGTGTAGAGGGGGCACATATCAATGCTTAAAAGGCTATTTATTTTTCTTAAAATATAATAAATAAATACAAATATATATATATGTTTGATACAAAATATCTTTATTTATTATTTTCTTCTTGAAAAATACACCGAATGTAAAAGCAATCTTTTTATATTTCTTTACTCATTATTTGAAGGTTATATTAACTTGAAATGAACCATGATTTAATCTGTGTATCAACCGTCCATTTGTTTTTATCTTTATTAAAACAAGTAATCGGAAGAGCGTCATGCCCCTTTCACACCAACGCGTTTTCAGCTCCGGCTCGGAGCTGGAGCCTGAAAAGTACAGTTTTTTCCTGCTCACACCGCAGAGGCGCCGCCTCTTAGCTCCGGAATCCGGTTCACTTCCAGCTCCAAAAAATTGTCGGTCTAGAGGCAAGAGCTTCTCGGAGTAAGAGAGACGTAAGCGACGCCGCCTCTTAGCTCCCAAGCACTTGCCTCTAGGCCGACAATTTTTTGGAGCTGGAAGTGAACCGGATTCCGGAGCTAAGAGGCGGCGCCTCTGCGGTACCGGTACTTTTCAGGCTCCGAGCCGGAGCTGAAAACGCGTTGGTGTGAAAGGGTGAATGGTCTAATGGTCAGTGGAGCAAGGGGCGGGGCGAAACTCACGGAAGTGATTTCAAAACAAAAGCACCCGTTTGATAATATGAGATAATATGAGCCCAGAAAACTAATGTTATTAAGGGCTGTAAATATAATAAGCCTATGTCTAGAATGGACAACATTGTTAGGAGATTTAAACTATACAGCGATTCTGGACTGCGGTCAACTCAGCCGTCTCTCGAGTTTGTTTGTTCAAATCAGCTGCTCTTCATTTTTTTTTTATACAAATATTTTTTACCACAAGTTCTTAATAAAACTGATACTGTTGGACTCAGTACTAGTTTGAAATTGATACTGTTTGACTTTGTATTAGTAATCCTACTACTAACAATACATTGAAGTATTTTTACTGTGTATTTTTTGAGAAATACTCTGTCAAAGTCCCCTGCTGAGAACAAAATCAAGCCACTTCTGCTAAGTTTGATGAGGGAATCATTTTTTGTCGCCATTAGTTCTTCGTGAGATTGATCCTGTTGAACTCAGAACTAGTGAAACTACCCCCACAAGTAGCCTACTATGAAGTACTTTCACTGTGTACTTTTTTAGTAATCCTCTGTCAATGTCCCCTCCTGAGTACAAGAATGCATGTTTTTCTGCTATTTTTAATAAGCATTAAAAAACCTTTCTTCCTGAGACTGATATTGTTGGACAGAGCATTTTAAGAGGATATGGTGGACATATTATATGCACTACTTCCAGTTAGTACTCCGGCAGCAGCATGTTTACACCTTGGAAAGTCTTTAGAGACTGGCCTGGATAGCTGGTCACAAATATCCTTCAGCAAAGTGACACACACTGTCACTCTGGTTGGCCTCTTATGATGTTTGTTAAGGGAAATGTTTACATATGTCCTCAGTTATTATATGTATAGAGAGATTATGTCTATTCTGTACTGTAGATATGTAATATTATTATTGTACCACTGTGAGGCACTATAGTGTTACGTGCTACGTAAGGACGCAGGCTTGCATCATGTAAATGAGGGTGTGTTCACCTGATGCACATGTCCAGATCTCTGTGTATTATTCTAAGTTAGCTCGGCTGAGTGAAAGGATGCACCTGAGAAGCAGAGGAAAATAAACCATGCCTGTTGGAGCTATATATCTCTTTATATTATTTAATAGTGTAACGTTTATTTTCTTGCTGTTTATAATTATTATCATTTATGTATATGTATTGTATTCTTAGTTAGTGTCATAAGTTAAAGTAGTTTCTATGCTTTTATTTTGAAGGCATGTTTTGGGCACTGGGTGATTAGAGCACCTGGTGTAATTGTATATATTGGAGACAGGTGGAGGTGGGAGCCAGAGCACTAGTAGGCAAATGGTTTTTAGCAGGGTGTTGCAAGCCACACAAGGGAAAGCCATAGGAAAGGCTTAAGGAAGAGAGATATAGGAAACGTGTTCATTGTACTTTGTTAATGGAATAAAATGCACAAATGGAGGTTCTTGTCTGGATTTGGATGATCATTGCCCTGCGTAAGATCCGCTAACTAGTGCCTCAGCGGCTGTATTATTTTTAAGTTAATTATCTGTTTTAGTTCTATGATTTTGGCCGCTATAATGCCCAAGGGCTAAACAGTTAATCGTCTCCACTATTTCTCTCCGAGTGCAACGTATGAAGAAGCTGCCATCCTTAACCTCAACAATGTTGCTGTCTTTTAATATATAATTATTTCTCTGCCGCTAGTTCGTTCCTTGCAGATTCTTCAGTCTCATCAGCCTCATCTTTCCATCAGTCCCAGTCAACGCCTCAGCCTCCAGCACACTTCCAGTGTCTGACTCCATATGATATTGTCCTGATGCTGTATACAAGGGTGATATCACCGTTCAAAGCAAACGAGTGCTTTTGTTTTTAAATCACTTCCGTGAGTTTCGCCCCGCCCCTCGCTCCACTGACCATTAGACCATTTAGTAAGGTAAAAAGCAAAAACGCCTCTCGATACCTCATTCACACCAACGGTGTCTCAGACGCTTTTCCGTTTACTTGTTTAATAAAGAAAAACAAATGGACGGTAGATACACGGATTTATAATAAACAGCTTGGTTTTGGTCCCACTCAAAGTAAAGCTAGGTCAGTTCAACAGAATACTGTTGTCCCACATAAAAACGTTAACGGTTTTATTATTTGGAGTTTAGCAGAGCTAGAAAATGAACATTATGTTTTATTATTAACTTTGTTAGCTGTTTAAAGTTATACAGCCTACTAGCTTGTGGTAAACTCCAAATGAACGCCAAATATCGTAAAAGTATCCACAGAATGAGAGCTGTCAAGGCTAGGTGATCAAAAGCTAACGTAAACCTACCTTTAAAAAGAGTGACCTTCGTGTAACTTGTCAAATGTATTGCTAGTTTAGTTGCAAACCATTAGTAAACAACCATAATTATTATTGTTGTTAATATATAGTTTAATCATTACAATTCAACTAGAAACTATATATTATTTATAAATAAAGAGAGGCAACATAAGCTGCATAAAGTGGGCACCCTACCGCCGGCTTAAACCCATTAGCCGGTGAGGACTAATGCTACAATCTCTTTAGTGTAGTAATACAACGATTAACAGCAATACGAAAGTCACTGTTAGCTCGGCTGTCTGTCTGTTTGGTCGTATTCAGACATGTTAAAGACTGAACTTCCTTTCAAATTAATTTAGTTGTTGTATTGTTTAACTTCAAAAAGGGCCTAACATCGTGTAACGCTGTTTATGTCAACGTTACGTACTTAAAAAAAGTACTTCTGGTCAATTCGTCTAGTCAATTCATACCACTTAATATGTCAATGCAACACAACAAACCATGTTAGTTACTTCCTACGTGGGTGTGTTTTGCTAATGTTAGCTAAGGTTGAATAGGGTGGGTACACTTCAATACGAAGGCAGGACAGCTAGACAAACTAGCCAATCGAAAAAGTAAAAAATCCGGGTTCGTTTTTGAAGTACACACACCGAATCCCTCAACAAGTAAAGCAATATTCAGCAAATGCCATACATTCTTGTCATGTTTATATTTTTCTTAATATGTCACATTTAATGCCAGATTTTCAATAGAGTGCGTGACGTTATCGTCCCCAGCTACATCCAGCAGTGAACAACACGTTAAGAGTTTACGCACTTTACTTACCGATCTCTCTCTACTGTCTTTACGTGTCCTGATAACCGCACAACGTATGGCTTATCAACCTGACCGTTATCCCCTTTTGATGGAAATCCACAACAGTATCAAGATGTTAGTTGTAAAAAGGTTCGAACTAAAGTTAAACACTCTGCTCCCCTTTCTTCTTCTTTGAATGACTTTACGGCAGGCTTTACGTCGCCAAGCCTAAGGCTGCCCTCTACAGTCAGAAACCTGTGTTGCAAGCTGTTTGCTGCCAGTGCCTACAAATACTTCAAATTGTACAAAATTAGTACTAGTGGCACTTAATTCACACTGTAAATCATATGAAGTAAAAAGGGCAATAGATGTCTCAAAACAAAGAGGCTTACATGCTTCTGATAATTAATGCATGCATGAAATAAAATGCCAGGCAAAAAGGCTATCTATTATACATTTAGTAATTTCGGTCCATTCTACAGTACACACTTAACATCTCTGCAGTTTAAATATTAGACTAAATCAGTTTTATACAGTCGTTTTATTACCTACATTACGGTAAGATCTAATTTCCGTCTTACTTTCAAAGTAAAAGCTCTTTGTCATTTTTACGTTAAAAAAATATCACATATTTGTATTGTAAATGAACAATGTTCACCAGACATAGACTGTCTGATCACTGCCAATAATTGAACAATGTTAAGCAACCAACGACACGCATACACACACACACACACACACACACACACACACACACACACACACACACACACACAAACACCCTGGCAGCAGCAGCATTTGGTTTCCTTGGCAGCGGGACGAGGAGGAGCCAATGGTGAACTGCTATGCCACATCGCACAACACAGAGCCATCTACGGTCACGGTGATAACGGTTTAATAAGGTAAAACAACGAGTTTTCTGTCCCCAATAAGATACATGCGGTATAATATAACATCAGCTTTCTAGGGAACTCAATGAGGTTAGCGTGTGGGGTTTTCAGCCCTTATCCAATTAGCTTTTGTGAACAGGCTAGCGAAATGTAGCTAACTAGCTGAGATGATTTAACTTACATTAGGGTAGATAACGTTAAAGGCATAGGCAGGCATGCCACTGGGAAGAAACACCTAACATTATATTAACCGTTCTATCTATTTTACACTCTGTCCACTCATCAGACTCTTTTTAATTGTGTGAAGTTAACGTTAAATATGTAAGTCAAACCAAACACATGATTCACGGTTAGCTAACAGAGGTTAACGTTCAATACCAACCAGATAACTTGCGATACATGCAAAGTTATCTAACGTTAAACTATAACTCAGTACCTACCAACTTAACTCTAATACTTAGCGTAACGCTTCTGTGAATATGGTTACATGCAAACATACACTGCCAATAAGTGTAAAGAGAGCTGCCTTAGTTGCCATATGGTGTTTTTTGTTTTGTTATTCAAATCTTAATATAAGAAAAAAGCATTTCAGCCGTGTACTCAACCACTCAATATACTAAATAATCAAATAATGATAATACAAAAATAAAATAGGCACAAATAAACTTCATAAATATCAACACATTAGAAATAAATATACATTATTCTTAAATGATTGTATCATACAATTGGACAGGTTCATCACTTGTTTTAGTATTGAATAGTCTTAAAGTATTCTTTATAAAGAATTGGTGGTCATTTTTGTTATTTTTCATTTATGTAGGAAGGATGTACCATATATGATTAACAAGTTTACCATTTAATTCAATATAAAATGTTTATTGTTTTATTGCACTTCTACAATATATTTACAGAAAATAACATATTTATATTATTTCCAGAAAGTAGGTGAATGTAAACAGTGCGAGAGCAATTCCACTGACATGTTTATCACAAATAAGCTTTGTCTTACTGTGAGAAGTATAGCACATCCTCCCCAATGCACACACTGTATAATTAAGATCTACACGTATTACACCCATACACACACATCAATACCACCAAAACCAATGTATTAGTTTAAAGGTACAATCTAGGTATTTTAAATAAGATTGTATGAGATACCTATTCATAGATGAGCATTTAGAGAAACGGACAGCAACATAGATATTGCCACGTTGTTATTGCTGGATAGAAAACCTCTTGTCAGCACTTTGTTATCAATCTCATTTGGTTTCATTGTAAAGGTAACGTTATCTAACAGACATTTTTTACTGTACCTCCCTTCAAAAGTCTGGAATCCCCTCCAACAAAAGCTTGATAGTGTTTATTCCGATGGTTGAGAGGATTAGTCTTTATTTTGAAATGGCCTTTCACGCTTTTAGGTTGTAGAAAGTCCTCTTTAAATTGATATTATTTTGTATGAAGGGTACATGGATAACAAGACGCTAAGCAACAGTTCAGTAAGAATAGAGGAAGCTGGAAGCTTTTCATTCACATGTGTGCAGATTAAAACAGCAGAACATTCCTGCCTAGATCATTTTGACCTGGATCAGGGAACAGCTGACAATCTACAATTTAAAACATCTTCATTCTAAACACTGTTAAGACTACATGGGGCCCAATACATAAGTGGCAAAGCCAATATTTAGAGCCAAGTTGCACTGTTGAGATTTAACACTTATAGAGGGTCACATATTTTTGTAATAGATAGACCATTTTAAATCTAAGTAATATCCCCTGTCATACAACACTGTGAAGTTGGAGTTTGAATAACGTATTCATTCTTCTTTTACGACAAAACTGTTTTACATGTGTAATTCATTTTGTTTCTGCAATACATCGTTTTTGTATCTGTTTAGAAAGTTATTTTCTAAGGGAAAAAGGAAAATACCAACATAGCATGTCGTTTCAAACATTGGAAGAGCAAAAGAGAGAAAATAGGGCGTTTCACCTGCTGGCCTACAATTCATATTTAAACTGTCTCAGTTGTCACGTTCTTCTAACCTCATTCTTCATGTCTCCTTTGTGACAGGCCCTGTGGCCATGGCTAAAGACCCGTTAGCCGAGGCAGGCTTTTATTTTGACGAACTCAACAAGCTGCGGGTACTGGAGCCTGATGTCAGCCAGAAAACCTCCGAGCTCAAGGAAGAGTGTAAAGAGTTTGTGGACAGTAAGCATTGAATATTTTTGAAAGGTTGATTATGCTGTGTGTGCCTTTCCCTTCCAACATACACAGGTCCTACAGGATGTGTAAATATGTGTCCTCCTTTGCAGAAATCGGCCAGTTTCAGAAGATAGTAGGCGGTCTTATTGAGCTGGTGGATGAATTGGCAAAAGAAGCGGAGACAGAAAAGATGAAGGTAAGATTAGGGTTAGCTCATTTTGAAATTCCAGGAGGATGTTACACTCTCCTGAAACCCATCTCAGGTATTCTGTACAGTATGTGCTTCTGATTGATTTTGAGATTATTAATTATCAGCCCATCTATTTCTCCTCTAGGCTATTGGAGCCAGAAACCTGCTGAAGTCAGTGGCAAAGCAAAGAGAAGCTCAACAGCAGCAGCTGCAGGCTCTCATAGCCGAGAAAAAGATGCAACTCGAGAGGTAGTGTGTGTGTGTGTGTGGTGTGTGTGTGTGTGTGGTGTGTGTGTGTGTGTGTGTGTGTGTGTGTGTGTGTGTGTGTGTGTGTGTGTGTGTGTGTGTGTGTGTGTGTGTGTGTGTGTTGTGTGTGTGTGTGTGTGTGTGTGTGTGTGTGTGTGTGTGTGTGTGTGTGTGTGTGTGTGTGTGTGTGTGTGTGTGTGTGTTGTGTGTGTGTGTGTGTGTGTGTGTGTGTGTGTGTGTGTGTGTGTGTGTGTGTGTGTGTGTGTGTGTGTGTGTGTGTGTGTGGTGCAGGAATAAGTCCTTAAACCCAAAGATGGAAGCATAGCAAGTGTTTCGGTCAATTCTTATTATTTGTTATTGTTTCTTGTTAGATGCCTGGAATAAGGCTGTGGTTAATACAAGCTTACAACAATTTCAAGTTTTGTTTGATGAAATAAGTAATAGTCTGTAAACATCCCACTCATTCACTTTTGAAGCTTCTATTTGTCTTAAAAACAGCAGTTGCCAACAAGATGCTAAAGTAAGACTGCTAGGGGCGGCAGTAGCTCAGACTGTAAAAAAAGGTTTTGCTTGGGAACTGAAGGGTCGCCGGTTAAAGTCACGATGATCAAAACATTACAAAAATAAAGGAGAAAATAGTTAAACATCTAACCGTCATCACGCCAAACATTAGCGCCTTTAGCTTAGCGGTGCGGATGTGAAGTCAGGCGATGGTTACTTAGTTTGTTTAAAGCCAAACGTTAGTTTTTTATTTCCATTTACTAATACAAAAGTGTTGTTAATATGTGAATACCCTGCTGAGTACATTATAGCTATAGGCATCAGCAATACATTCATATTGAACATCTGTTAAGATATCTTGTGATGTTTTGAACTTCATAAAACTACCATTGGAAAAGAAACTCATTAGAAGAGTTTTACTGCATCAGGGTTTTTTAACATTAAACACGCAAAGAGATAAACAGATTTTTGTTTTCATTACTCCGTTATTTGGTTACAGAGAGTTTTCTGTTGTGTTTCAGATATCGTATCGAGTACGAAGCTCTGTCCAAAGTGGAGTCGGAGCAGAACGAGTTCATCGACCAGTTCATCCTGCAGAAGTGACCATGTGACTCCACGTTTCCACAGTGCCTGTCCGGTTATCTCTGGGTGATGGTGCCCACTTCAGAGAATAACTCTGCTGCAACTGTTTTTCTGAAGCAATCCCAAAGCTCCAACACCACTCTGAAACATCTCCTCCTCCCTGACATGCATGTGTGTGAAGCAGGTGTGATGATGTAAGCTTGAATATTTATTGGAGCGGTAAGTGTTCACACCAAATGTCTCGACATCTCAAACCAACATGAAAGAACACAGAGCTATTTATACAAAGAAAAATAATTTATACTGAAGAATTATTCTATATATCGAGATGAACTCATTTTTGTATCAATTTAAATATGGCATGTGCATGCATCTGTAAATATGTTTAATTTCATATTGTGTTTTGTGATGTTCTTTTTCTGGTACAGCCAGTCATGGGCACAGCACATGAGAAATACATCGCCCTCTTTTTCTAATTCTTAATTTCTATGTGTGTCTTTCATGTATTCAATTAGATGACGAAGGGTTATACTTGAATAAGTACTGTATTATATTAGACAACAAAAGGTGTCATCATTTGTGCTGTCAACACGTACATCTTAGGGTCTTGCTATTATGTTTTGTTTCAATAAAATGAGTTGATATCCTTTTTGTTGCACTGTTGGATTCTCTTTAATGAGACTTAGGTCAACGTTTTCAGAATTGAGAACAATTAAAAAAGCAGGTTGAAAGTAGAACAAATATGAAGTTAGAGTACCATCTTTTTTTGAGTATTGTTCGCATCACACCATGTTTATCAGATAGTTTATCATCTCACGTTCTGTGTAGAATGGTTCTGTTTGAGACGACATTACAAGAAAATGTGCTGCAACAGTTCCTCTCAAAGTACTGGCTGCAACTCCCTCCAGCGTGGTTGTATTCCTCAGTAATTATTTTGAATCTGCCAGTTTTCATTTATTCTTGTTTCTTCACTTAGTTACTGCATCTTAACCCTGTGAAGCCCAAATATAGAAAAACATTTGTTGACCTTTCAGATGTTGTTGTAGGGAGCCTATGGAATAGAAATGAAAGAGTTTTCACATTTTTAAGGAAATGTTTTAATATTGCAACGTTGGTCTTGGTGGGAGCAGAATTCCTGTATTTCTACTCGCATTGTCTGAATACACATGTTGAATAACTACGGGTTGATTTGCAGGATTGATTGCCCTATATCAGTATAGCATGAATAATAATCACTCATATTTTTTATCAATAGTCATTTATTAAATATGAATACAATGGTAGTCCCAAAAACAGTTCCTGTCGTCAGAAAAGCACAGACGGACGTCACACTTGTGTTTGTGTACCCTTTACTGCAGTGTCTGCCGCGTCCTCTCTCTGTCTACACTAGAAAATGTACCATTAGGTCCTTGCGTACATCCAGTGGAGGTTGTGATCTCTTGGATGGACTCCCATCACCTGAGGATGGTCTCTTCTGAGCATTCAACGGGCTCCTTGATGTCACCGTCGGTGCTGGGATCCCCTTGCCTGAAGATGGTCGTCCTCTCTTGGGTGTTTTCAGAGGAGTTGTGTTCACCTGATTAGAACAGAATCAATCAAGATACATGTCAAAAATACATTAGGATACAAGTCAAAAATATTACAAACGGCAAAAAGCAGAAATGCATTCTTACCAGGATGAGAGAGGATGCTAGATCTGTCTGAAACTGTCTCCTGGTCAGGATCTCCTGCTTTGCCATCTTTAGAGCTCTGCAGTCCCGCTTGTAGAGGAGCCAGGAGTTGATCACAGCAAGGATGACGGTGTGCCAGAAGATGTACACGTTCCGGCGTCGGGACTTCATGGGTCTGGTCCAGCAAAGGATGACACAAGTGTGCCCGCTCTGCAGTCATACCATTTGACAGCACAGATGTTGTGGTTGGCCTCCACTCGGATGTCAAAGCTTCCTCTCCCTTTTTCCTTCAAGCTCTTCTCCTCTTCAAGTTTACAGTTGGGTAAGCGCACCTGCCTGGCTGTTCCCATAATGAATCCCCGATCAAGAAGCTTCACTACCAATGGGACACAGGTGAAGTAGTTATCTGCGTAGATCTTGTAGTTCTGACCTTCTGGAAGCGTGGAGGCAAGCTTCATCACAACATCACCAGACAATCCAAGTTCAGACTTGGCTCGTATCCCATTGACTCTGCCTTGGTACACATCAAAGTCACAGATCAATCCAGAGATTACAGTTCTCACCAACTTTCTCCGTTTTGGATGGCATCACATCCTGCACACTGAATCGAGGACCTCTCTTTGCTGGTGGCATTCTGAAATGGAAAAAGAAATGTATAAATATGTATCAATAAAACATATGCTTATTATATTGTATTAGATTACCTGAAGGAATAGATAGGGTGGTGGAACAAGTGTTCATTCTGTCTGGCTTAGCCTATTATCATACTAAAAGGAATGCATGCACCACCCCCTTCCAGGTGTCCCGATGCAACAAGCATCTGAATCCTATTTACATTGCACACTTGAGTCACACAATACTACCTGGCTTAGCCTATTATCATAATAAAAGGAATACCTACACCCATACATGCAGGTAAACCAGTTCAACAAGTCACACAATGCTGTCTGGCTCATGATAACAGGCTGATTATCATACTAAAAGGGATCCATCCAAGTGTCCCAACACATTTCAGAAACTGTTTCTACCAGAACCAGAGTTAAATGTAATTTTGTAACTAATTAACTGATAAGATACAAGTAGTTTAAAATATTGCTACAGTTACATACTTTTATCAGAAATAATGTATTCATTTATTCAATTCTGGTCTTAATTCAAAATCTTAACAGAGGACACATTTAGAACTTAGTTATTGTGAATTATCAACGACATTATATTTCTATTAGTGTTTTATTTCCATATGTGAACAAATTCGATGAATGTATTCCACAATAACTAAATATGTACATGTTCTATACATTGTAATAATCACCAAATCAATTCTTACTTGAATCTGACAAATCCAGTCCAATAAAACAAAGACATGTTGCTCGTTTGAAGATTCGGAATTTGTGTGAGTGTATGCTCCAGAGGGCAGGACCTATAAACACATTTACTACCCAATAGCATTGTGAGGCTGAACAAAATGACCTGTTGACTATGTAAATGTAGTCTTTAAAAAAAATACATTTGCTGACTTTTTTAGGATAGCAGAGTAATGTTGTAAAATTACAACAGTGGGCCTTACATGGTTAAAGTTGTACTGCAACTACATTGCCTGCAGCGAAATGACTATATATACATTCAATCAGGAGAGACATGTTTTGATGTAACAATATATGTATTGCCAAGAATACACAGATGAATGTGAATGAGAGGCGAAGTCCCTGCCTTTCCGGTGGACCTCCATGGGACCTTATTTCGGGAAAAGTATGAAGTAAGAAGCCAATGGCGAGATAAAGATTATCTTTCGATCCCGTTTTAATTATGCCACGAATTACACATATGATGTTTGACAATTTAAAAGATAATTTTGCAAAAAATGTGTCGTAAAACGGTGAAGTAACACTTTTTTTTGTGTTAAACCGCTCAATGAACTACATCTCCTGTCTGCACCACACACCAAGACGGCTGTCACGTAAGCACATTTCACTTCTTTCTTTCAGAATGAGGCGAAAAGTATTAAAGAGGTGAAAATCACTACAAGTGGAGTTAGTTGGTTCCGTAAGAGCCAGCGGACCGGGGACCGGAGCCATGCGGGACCGGGATTCTGGGATTTGTAGTCTTTCTAGTTGCGTATTTTTCATAGTCTTATATTTCAATAGTTTTATGACAAACTGAGAGTTTTTTGACATGGAAATGATTTGTTTAAGATTGAAAAACATCATATGTGTAATTCGTGGCATAATTCAAACGGGATCGAAAGATAAGTTTTGTCTCTCCATTGACTTCAATACATACTTTTTCCGAAATAAGGTCCCATGAGGTCCCCGGAAGGGGAGGGACTTTGCCTGTTTGAAAATGCGCTATGATTTGCTTGTAGGAATAGAGACGAAGGGATAGGTTTAGCTGGGGAGTGAACGCCCCCGATCGCTGATTGGGAGGGGTCAGAGTTGCGTCATCTCTGTTCCGGTCGCGGAGCCTCTCAATAGTTCCCGGAAGTTAGCAGCAAATACTAGCAGCGCAGTAGAGTTGCAGCATAATAGACCGTTTGTGATGAACTTTTACAGGTAAGACGTGTAAAGATTTAGATTGGATAATATCAGCACATCTGAATCCAATGAACATGTGCATTAATGCATGTTAGTGGATTATCCCCCACTAAATTAGTAGATTTAGGGGACGCTAACAGATTAGGCTACCGGATACAGTTAGCAACATACTATTTTACGTATTTAATCGTATATTTTCGATTATAGGGAGTATGATTCCGATAACCCAGGAATCGCTGGAACTGTAGCTTTCCCGCGGTACCTCTTGTGAGACTTTACCCAACTCACAGCAGCCAATAGCAGCTTGACTTTGTGTTACACTGTGTGGGATTGGTGGATTCGTGTGTCCGTCAAGGAAATCTCGGCTGGCAGCCATGTCGTCTGAAATGACCAATGGACACTCATGAAATCACTAAACCCACCAAGAAAAACATTTAACACACGTGTCTCCCATCAGTTTGTCTGTGTGTGGAAGAGAGAGGAGACAGAAACATGGCTAAAACCACTGTTGCCGCTGAGCTAGAGATACTTTTGGCTAGCAGTAGTGAAGATGATGGCGAATCAGAACCTGAAGGCTTTGACTCTTCGGAAGAAGAAGAATACTGGGACAACAAGGATCCATTTGAAGATGGGTAAGTGTAAATACAACAGTAATAGTGCACTTGCCATTTGTGAGATATACCGTGAAAATGAACTTTTTCTTGCGACCAAAAACCTCACCATTAGTCAACTTGTACTCTGTGTAAAAGTTATTTTGGTGTGTAAAAATGAGGTTACATGTGTAGATGACTAAGATAATCCTTTATTCGTCCTACAACGGAGACATTTACAGTGCATATAGACATGTTTTTGCCATCTATATTTTGTATCATACTGTTCTGTACAGATGAGACTTTGTCATAGATATATTTACGTGTGCCTGTGATTGTTTTTACCATACTGTTCTGTTCAGATGAAAGAGAGAGAGATCAATGAACTAGTAGTAATTATTGTCCTACATTTGAATTTGTTTTACAGGGAGGATTCACAGCAGCCAGAACCTCAATCGGTGCCTGCCACCATGTCAAGATTGACCGTAGATCAAGGACCAGCAAAGAGGACTCGTAGAGAACACGTACTTCCCACACAGCCAATAGCAGCCCATGTACCATCATCCCCACCTACACAGCAGCCATCGCCACTGTCTTGGAAGACAGACAAAGACCCCGACACTGCACCCCCTGTCCCCAGTTTCAAACCTGCTCGCACACCCGGGCCACAGCTCAGCTCCAGATGGAAATACAAACCCTTTGACCTGTTCAAACTTTTTTTCAGTGCACAAACAGTACAGACAATTTGTATCAACACAAACAAACAAGCTGCAAAGCAGATGGGAAATGGGAAAAAATACAAATGGATTGATTTGACTGTAGATGATTTTTATAAATACATGGGGCTGCTTCTATACATGGCCCTGCTGAAACTGGACACAGTATTGGATTACTGGAGGCAGGATCATTTTTTGTCAGTGCCTCTGCCAGCACAGGTCATGTCACGTGACAGATACAGGACAATATCCTGGAACCTGCATCTCAGCGACCCTGGTGAGGATGTCCAGAACGACAGCAAAAAGGGCACACCTGATCATGACAGACTGTTCCGATTGAAACCCCTCATGGACAGCATCAAGACTGCGTGTATGTCCTATTACCATCCCCATAAATACCTGGCTGTGGATGAGAGGAAGCTTGACTCCAAGGCCAAGACTGTAATTACCCTGTACATGAAGGCCAAACCTACTAAGTGGGGATTCAAGCTGTTCGCCTTAACCGACTCGAAGAATGGCTACACAGTAGACTTTTCCGTTTACACCGGCAAAAGCGACATCTGCTCCGGACATGGCCTGTCGTATGATGTGGTAATGTCGCTGGTGCATGCAGGTTACCTTGGGACAGGTTACCATATTTACATGGACAATTTTTACACCAGCCCGAAGCTGTTCACGGCTCTCCATGCCCTAAAGTTCGGTGCCTGTGGGACCTACAGAGAGAACTGCAAAGACTGCCCAAGGACACAGACTAACGCTCTAACAGCAAAATCCAAAAGAGGCTCCCTAAGATGGATCAGGGAGGGCCCCCTGGTATTTGTCAAATGGATGGACAACAGGGAAGTATCCGTCTGCTCCACCATCCATGAAGCATACTCTGGCAACACTGTGCAGAGAAAGCAGAAGCAGAGGGATGGCTCCTGGACCCAAGTAGAGACCCCCTGTCCCACACCTGTTACCGAGTACAACAAACACATGGGTGGAGTTCATCTGTCAGATCAGCTTATACACCACTACTCTGCAAAGCACAAAACCATGCGCTGGTACAGGAGCATATTTTATCATTTCCTGGACATTGCCACTACAAACAGCTACATTTTGTACAAGGAAATCTGTCTGTCACAAAAGAAAAAGCCCATGACACGCAGAGCATTCATGGGGGAGCTGAGTGCTGAGCTCTGTGGCAAGCCTCTCCATACACCGCCTGCCCGGGGACCTGCATCTCATCTTCCTGTGTGCATTGCTGATGTCAAGGCATCAGGCATCAGCCGAAAGGCCACCACAGGACGCAGGAGATGCGAACACTGCCACAGCCAAGGCATGAGAAAAGACACACCTTGGAAGTGCAAGCAGTGTGATGTGGCCCTTTGTCTCTTACTGGACCGCAACTGCTTTGAGGCATGGCATGAGGACTGAATCGGAATGAGTGTTTTTATAAATAGTTGAGAATAAAGTTCTGATGTATTGCATCAATTTTTGCAGTGTTTTTTTACATCTAGAATAAATTGTTGGTTAAAAAAAGTTCTAATGCTCAATTTGTATTTGTACACATCACATGAATCTTGTGTATGTAATATGAAGGCATTAATCAGTCCTAATGTATCTCAGGTCCTGCTTTGGTGAAAGTAGAGTGATACATTTTTATAAGTTTCATTTTAGACATGAATTGGTCTTTATATTACACTACTTTTTTTTTAACCTAAGACTTTGATAAACCACCAAAACATTTGGATGACTCGCGTAAATCTGTTTTGAAGATTTCCAAAAATCAGGTGTCAATGTTCAGCTTTAGAGCTAATTATCTCATCACACAGCGCTCTAAGGTGAGTGACTTACATTTCTTGATATGTAATACATGGGGTGCCATTTTATAACGAGTACATTTTAAAAGGTGATTGGAGTCTTCTAAAATAATCAAGAACATATCTGTAGAATCCAGAGGGTTAATGTCGTTTCATCCAACATTGTGGAATTAGAGAAAAAGGAATAATTTGTTTTGCGGGATGGATGAAGTTAAATATTACACAATAAGGAAGAGAGCTATTTTTGAGACTTGGATCCGTTTAAGAACACACTACCTTCTTTTTTTTTGGGTTCAAAGCAATAAACACGTTCTCTAACCGAGGTAGAATTAGCCTTAAATATGTTAACAAGGCAGATAAGCTAGCTGTTTACACTAATCCTCAAATATCAGCAGATTTGTTTTTTTTTTAAACCGCCAAGAACTTCCTGGAACCGAGCCTACGTGAATTACGTGACGATCAAGCATTGTGAACTTCCGTTGGCTCTGAGGGGTGAGCGTAGTAAGATGGAAATATGTGAATGACAGGATATAAAGATGGTCTTCCTGATTGAACTTGCGCTAAGCTTCATTAAACTTTCATATTAATGTATTATTTCAGCTCAATGAATTCCTTTGTATTTACCCATATTGCACTATCTGCTCATTAAGTGTCAGTTCATGTCAAATGTCCACTCCATAAATAAGACAACTAAGCTATAGTTTAGAATGTATTTTATTGAAAAATAAATACATGATAGTCATTTCACTCCATAAATAGTATTTATACCTTTATTGATGAAGAATATTGATATCTTTCCATACAGTACAGATGTTGCATTATCATGGCTGTTGACACAATATCAACTCAAGACTCAGAAAAATGTCTCCATCTCTACGACGTGAAACCCCCCGGGACATAGTCATGGTTTTTGAGCCTCATTTGTTCTTGGAATACTGCAAATGAAAACGAGAATTAAAAATGAAAGTGTGTTTACAGTATTTGTACTTTATTTTGAAATTCAAAAGGCCTTTATTCTTACTTTTGTAAGAATCCAGTCGGCATCTACGACAGCTCTTTGGACGATCATTTGTACCCTCTCCTGGTCGTCTTCATCTGCGTGACTGGTGTAACCCTGGAAAACCAAAAACCAGGATGATGAAGTGCTTTGATGCTCACAATGAGGAAGCATTAAGCAGAAAGGGCTTCATCTTTCCAGGCTAGGAAAACCACACTTAACAGGTTTAAGGATGTGTCAATAACTAGAAGAATTCAATATAATGAGAGAATGGTATATTATGGAGAACAGGTCTTCTTCCTCATGTAGTGTTTACAGCAAGGTTCAGAAATATGTTTCACTTTGATTGTTTACAGAAAACAAGATCAGAATAGTAGTTTTTATAAATGATCAATTAATCAAGAAAACAGTCGCCAAATTAATTGACAATAAATAGTATTCTTTGTGGCAGCCTTAAGGACTTTTGGCACATGTGTCTGTCAACTACTGGTACCATTTTTGACTTTAAAGAGCATGTATGGAGGGAATCTGAATCACAGAATGAATACATGAATTCATTTTCTACTTTTGTAGCTCGCAAAGTGTGCATTCGTGTAGCGTCGGAATAATTGAAAATGTGAAACTCACTGGGATCATTTATATGAACTCGAACAGTGTGCCGATTAAACGCCCTGAGCAATAAAATACAACACAAACTTTTCTTTAGCATTCAAGTTGTGGCGTTTGTTGTGAACAACCATCACAACAGATTTCCTGGTTGAACTACACTGTTGTTGTGCCTTTGCAGCCGTTGCGGGGACCTTGCTATAGTGATGCGTTTCCGGATCACAGCACAATGTTTGGTAGCTTATACTGACAAGAAAACATTCACGGCAATCACTAATAGCTATCTTAATATCTGTTCATCATTATTTTACTTTTGGCTAAGAAAGCAGCAACTCAGGATTTTGGATGAGTGTCTCTGACTTTAGGACTGACAATAAACACCTTGGACAGTTTCAGATGTCAGATATAGCAAACCTGTGTACCATGTTTATGGGCAGTACAGATTTTTTAAAAGTTTATATGTGCATCTATATTGGCAGCTCAGCCACTAGTTTGAATGTTTATAAACCAACAACATAAAAAGTTACAAAATGACACATTGTAGCATAATAAGGCGTGTGTGTGTGTGTGTGTGTATATAATGACATTTAATGACAAGTCTCTCAATTCGGCAAGAGCTCTCTCAGACACCTTTGTGTTTTTTAGTCCGTGTTTTTTGTTTTAAAGTGACGGTTGTTGCATCAAGCTCACCGTTTTTACTTTCTTTAGACCACCACTCATACTATGATCTTCATCTGGGTGAGAAGTTTGTCCAGGACGTTGCAGGCACAGACGCTCAACAATGGCAAATTATTTGAAGCAACTAAATAACATTTATTTGGGCCAATTCAGTGAAGTTTGAACATTTCCCACAGCTCACCTGACGATCTCTCACGGAGCACTGGTGTGCTACGACACAGTGGATGAATATCACTGGTCTACAGTATGGAAGCGTATGCCAGTTGGCTAGGTTAAAATGGTCAGCTAAATGACATGTAATGTAATGGTCTAGTTGCCAGTATAGTGAACCTGGAAATGTATAGTCGGGGTCCCCAGCACATAGAAACTGACAGATGCTTACTTGCATATGTTGGGCAATTTGCACAATCAGCATAAGTTGCCTTCATTTAAATGAATGGCATTATATCCAATGTGGACAATGGTTATAAAATGAGTGGTTTTGGGGGTTATGGAGGATGCTGAATCCATTTCTGACATTATCTGGTTTGAAAATGGCAGTTATAACCAGAAAGTGGCCATATTTCTACTCTCGGTGGGCTGATTCTGACTACCATTAGTAGTATCGAACCATTGGAATTAGAGAGAAGAAAATGACAATTATTATCTCTAATAATTATCATCTTCAAATAAATAGGCAATCTGTCCAATTCAAATGAACCAGAGTCCACTAAATCTTCCAAATCGACCAAAGAATGTTGTAAAAATCAGCCCACAGAGTTAAAATATTGGTATTTTCTGGTTAAAACCGCAATTCTTAATATTGAAAATGTAAGCAATGGACTCGGCACCTCAATTTGCCTAATGTTAAACTTTGGTGTACTCGACATTTCCAGGTTCATTACAGGACTCTCAGCTGGCAACTTGACTATAATGTACAAGAACATTTCAAAAGCATGTATCTTGAAAGCAGTAGCTGCACATGGCGTCCTCACCTGTCTGATGGCGTGCCGGTAATGCTTCTGCATGGCTTCTGTGGGTAACTGCCTGCAGCACCGGAGGAGGTGTCGGTACAGCTGCACCGGTTTCAGCTCCGCTCCAACTAAAGGTAGCATTGTCCCTCCTTTGGTTAAGTTACTGTGGATACAAATGGTGACATTTGTTTTACCCTAGGTATAGACTTTCTGCATATTGGAACTGATTTGACCAACTCTGTATTCAATATGCTTCCCTTTATGTCCGTTGCATTTGGAACAGAACAAAATAAAAATCATGACATACATTTTTATTTCAGGATGTAAACATGCATCATGAATTTCCTGAAAGTTTGCAATTAAATATTATATACATTATTACTTTCTTTAATTTTGGATAATATTTTCTTATCTGCAATCAAAGTTGTTGACCAAAAGTGGACTGTATAGCAATTTCATAGAATTATAAAATACCGTTGTGATATTTTAGTTTATTCATTTAGTGGGAGTTCAGTTAAAGGTGGGGTATGTAATTCACTTCAGAAACACTTTGTTATATTCCATGGAATGCTCTTAACATCCCGATAGCAATGAATATCTTAAATGCTTTGACAACAAATACATACAAAAATGTCATCTGTGGAAGCCGTAGCGCTGTAAAAAGCACCACCAATCATCAATGAGGCCCCTGTTTGGTATTTTGAAGGGAAAAAAACGTATACATATACCTTATAGGTATGGCCCTACAATATATTATTCAAATATAGCATGATAGGTCTCCTTTAAATGACCTGGGGCCTCATTTATAAAGGGGTATACGCTCAAAAAAATGGCGTACCGCAGTTTCCACGCAATGTTTGCGATTTATAAAATACTAACTTGACGGGAAAACGTGCGGTCCTCCACGCAAACTCTAACCCATGCGTACGCACTAAGCACAACAACGGGAGAGACGAGAAACTGCGACACCGTTGGCAGAAGGAAGAATGGAGAGAAATATGTGAAAAATAATACCATAAATAAAATGTTACCTCTCATTTATCATGTATGAAGAATTCATTTTCAAACATTGATTAAACAAACGCCTGTTTGCGACTCCTCAGTGCACACAAAAACATAACTTGGAGAAATAAATAAATACGGATATGTTATTTAAAACCATCTCGAATATGTTGTGTTAATGTTATGAAATGTTTTCTCATAAATGATGCGGTAAACAGGAGGACAGAATTACGTCTAAACTGACGCTGTTTTGCATTTCTATAGGTTGTAGATACGAGCATGGTTTTATATACTATCATGTTTAATCGTGTTTTATGCCGTTTGCTAAGACTTGATAAGTCGTTCATAAAACACAGGAGGTATGGAAACTAAGAACATCATATATTTGGTAGATTTGGCAGCTGATATAACACAACACATTAGTTTTATTTCCTTTAACAGGTGGATATAGAGTTGCTGCGGTGGAGACGCTGCGCACAGCTGATAACTGGAACACAAACCACCAAATACAAAAATAAACATTAATTGACTCCACTCCGCAGGGATCCCCCGATACCTTCTTACAGTTGCTCATCATGGGGGGGTCTCCTGTCCCCGGTACAAACACACTGCCTGAGGAAGTATGTGTATTTTGTCATTAACTTTTTTCGGACCACTTATTTATTTATTTTGGTGACGATCCGACCTCCATGCTGCTACTCCGGTTCAAACTGCATCCACCAAACAATGTGATTTGTCTCGACCTCCCCAAAATAACCCAAATCTGACACGGTGTGAGATGTCTTTTTTAGCTGTTCTGTCGTCATTTCCTGCGATCTTCTTCATAAAGTCAGTCAGAATGAATGAATGGGCGTTTCTTTGACTATTTATAGGCAAATATGGGCGTTACGTGAATTTCGAGTCGATTGTGATTTATAAAGGGAGTAGTAGAAATCCAAAAAATAGGTAGGCCTACAGACATTTTCCGATTCACCAAACATTGCGTACCGGCGAGGAAAGTGCGTACAGCACTTCCTATGCCGGTTTCCCTTTATAAATCACAACCGACTCGAAATGCGGTGCAGCTTTTGCGGGCTTCACGTAACGCCCATATTTGCCTATAAATAGTCAAAGAAACGCCCATTCATTCATTCATTCTGACTGACTTTATGAAGAAGATCGCAGGAAATGACGACAGAACAGCTAAAAAAGACATCTCACACCGTGTCAGATTTTGGTTATTTTGGGGAGGTCGAGATAAATCACATTGTTTGGTGGATGCCATTTGAACCAGAGTAGCAGCATGGAGGTCGGATCGTCACCAAAATAAATAAATAAGTGGTCCGAAAAAGGTTAATGACAAAAATAATACACATAGCCTTCCTCAGGCAGTGTGTTTGTACCGGGGACAGGAGACACCCCCTTGATGAGAAACTGTAAGAAATGATCGGGGAATCCCTCCGGAGTGGAGTCATGACGACTGGATCTGAATTATGTTTTTGTATTTGGTGGTTTGTGTCCCAGACAGTTGTCGATCAGCTGTGCGCAGCGTCTCCACTGCAGCCTGTGCGTCTCAACCCCCCCCGCAGCAACCCTATATCCACCAGAGAGCGCACCGGTACTGGAGATCGTTGTTGTTAGCTTCTGGTGCTAGCGAGCTACGCTAACAGATATAAGGAGTTTTTTCAACAACAAAGTGGAGGAGAGTCCTCTCCTGTCAGACTGAGAGGCTCAGTGAGCTAAAGGACTCTCTCAGTGTTATCTCAGTGGGTCTCAAATGTTTTGGTTACCATTAATGTAAACAATTATTTCCGAGGCACACGTTTATATGATCATTATAGTTATAAAAAAATAAGAGAATAAATGAAAAACAGGTATGAAATACTATATGACAGTAAAAAAAAATAACGTTTAAAAGGGTGATTTGTAAAATATCCATAAAGAAAAAGTAAATCTGTCAACAGTTCTGTTTCATATGGGTGTTGAGAGAGGTATCCATAGATCTCTTCATTATGCTCTCAAAGTGCACCAGATTGATGCTTTTAACTTCAATATTTAAAAATAAATCTTCCCGGGGGAGCTTTCCCCCGGACCCCCCTATGTGAGGTCCACACACCACCTGTAAAAATAGCACTTTAACTACAGTATATGCCGTGAGCTGATTATCGAGCCTTCATTGTGACAGTCGCGGGTAGGCCTACACTGTATATATGCGTGGGGAGTGTTGCAGTAGAAAATTCCACTGAGCGACCGGTACATTAATGGGAAACCCTAAATGTTTGAGCACCCTCTATGAAACGTCAAGCTACCCCACAGCACCCCCAAAAGAAATCTCTGGCGCCGCCACTGAACCTGACTATTTGTGTTGGGGGGGCCCGACTTTTTTTTCTTCTCCAAAGCCCCCCTTTGGAGAAAAAATGACAGAAAAAGTTTGAGAACCACTGCATTTACACAACATATTCGAGGTGGTTTTAAATAACATATCCGTATTTATTTATTTCTCCAAGTTATGTTTTTGTGTGCACTGAGGAGTCTCAAACAGGCGTTTGTTTAATCATTTTAAGATTGGCTTTAATCAATGTTTGAAAATGAATTCTTCATATATGAGGTAACATTTTATTTATGGTATTATTTCCACACATTTCTCTCCATTCTTCCTTCTGCCAACGCGGTGTTGCAGTTTCTCGTCTCTCCCGTTGTTGTGCTTAGTGCGTACGCATGGGTTAGAGTTTGCGTGGAGGACCGCACGTTTTCCCGTCAAGTTAGTATTTTATAAATCGCAAACATTGCGTAGAAACTGGCGTACGCCATTTTTTGAGCGTATATCCCTTTATAAATGAGGCCCCTGAGCTGTTAGCTAGCTATCATTGCATTGGCTAGCTACACAGAGCTGCTGCATGTACACATTGCGCAGATAGAAAGCTAGCACACAATCCAGCAGACAGAGAGCCGTAGTGTTAGCACAGTGGCTAAATGAGCACCATCAACAAACTGTAAGGTCACGTTTATATACTTACGTTAGTTGTGATACATCCTGGCCGTTTCTCAATAACAAGTAAAACTGCTGCAGAGCAACTATTTCAAGTATACTACGTCATCGAGTGGCGCCGAAGGACTGTTTAAATGCATGTTAAATGCCACTCTATGACGTAGTATACTTGAAATAGTTGCTCTGCAGCATGTGTACTCGCGATTGAGAAACGGCCACTGTCTGCAGTGTTCAGTGTCTGCTGTCAGTGTCAGCAGGCACTTAAATCTTACATCTTAAATAACTGCTTCTTTTTACGGTTTTATGGCGGGTGGCAACCAGCATTAAAGGTGCATGACCGCCACCTGCTGTATTGGAGTGTGGACCAGAATTATCTACCCCCCAAAAATAAATAAATACAATTAAAATAGTCTTTGTTGACTCTGTTTGTCTTTAATAATATAATAGACCCAATGTATAATATGTATCTGACATTTTGGTTGTTCCACTCCAAGCTTCCTGATTTCTGTCTTTAGAGTTTCTCTTTCTTGTCTGTATTTGCCACAATACAGAGTGACATACTGTTTCCTCAACCTGGCAGTGTTCACATAATCCTGGTGGAGATTTTCCTACTAAACTGAGTGTTTTGTTCAGTCTAGTAGTGTGTCCTAATCTAAACCTTGTTAACAAATTATCCTCCTTGATGCTCAATTTCACTGTCCTGACAGATTGTTGACAGCAATTAATAAAGGGTTGGTCCTGTGTTTCCTGTGTCCCAATTGTGTTGCCACTCGTTAAAGACATTCCTTTTTGCTATTTATTTAGCTTCAGTTTTCATTATTTCATTCTTAATTACCTCCCTGGAGCTTTTTGGCCCTTGTTCTTATAATACATCCATGCCCGAATCACATTAGGGAATTAGCCACTGCACAGTCAGGGAAGTGTGCATTAAGTGTTCTTCTCCAAGAAAAAAAAAAGTCTTAACTTAATTAACTTCTTCTTCTACGGTCACGTCATACTTGCGCCCTCTGGTGTCTGATTTCTACATAAGTACCGCACCTGTAGCGCCTGACAGTTAAAATGTATTAAAGAACAATGTTGAGCTACTTGTGCTCAGTGGCAGCCGCCGTTCTAGAATAATGTAACTAGGGGGGCCGTGATGGGGCCAATCATTTAATCAGAGGGGCCCATTAAATGCAGGAAGGAGGATATTTAAAAATGTTTAGTACAAAGTCATAGCACATACAAAAACAGAAAATACAATTATTGGTGTTTGATTTAGTAACAGAGTTTGTGTCTGTCTGATTTAAGTTACCTTGGTCCAGGATACAGAACATTAAAAGAAGTTTGGGGTAATAAAAACATTATTTATGCAGCTAAATTCTGATTTATCTTATTTCTTAATATTTGCTTTTGGTCACAACATTTGTTTTAGTAACTTAGTTGCAACTTATTAAATGACATTACTGAAAAACAAAATCCCTGTTAACTTTGGCCCAGGTTACAGCACAGTAACTTAGTACTTTTACATGAATTGCATCATCATAGATTTATTCTTTTGGAGGGGGGCCACAGGGGGTCCAAGCTCCGTGTCACAGGGGCACTTGCCCCTGTTGGCCCACCCTATAACCGCCCATGCTTGTACTTTACTATTTCCGTTTCCTTCTACTTCATACTTTAATCAACTTAACTGTTACATTATTACTCCACCCGCCTACAATTAAATGAATAACAATCAGCACATACATAAGACTTTTGTAATACCTTGTATAAATTCACAATCTACCATTAATCCCAAGAGTAATTTGATTGTCTCCACATTTACCAGTTTATTAAAAATTAAAATGATACATAAATAATAATCAAATCAGAACGACTATGTACTATTTTGATATTATACATCCTGCATAATGAGTACTTTTACCTTTTATACTAGTATATTTTGATGCTACTGGTCTTATAATTTAAACAATTTCATAATTTTCATGTTTGAAAGGTTTTTGTATATGGAAATTGTCTGCAAAGGTTACAATTCATAAAGTTCCCTCCAGAGGAAAAACGCTTTTTTAACATTAAAGCATAATATAACATAGTAATGACGAGTCATAACTGTTTTAGGACTGTGATAATCAACGAGGACAATAAACAATGAAAGTATATTTTAAAAGAAGAAAATAAACTGTAAGATGGATGTACAAGATAGAGTGTCACACTTTGTTTGTTTTTGTTTGTTTAAGGGATAAGTCACAATTAAGTTAGCTTATTTTGCTCACTGTCACAAATAAGTCTCTCCCAACATACTCATCATCAAAAAGTGTCACTCCTTCATCAGATCATTGTTCGTTAAAATAATATTTAGTTGTAAAATTAGTGGCATTTGGATTGCGGTTAAAGTAAATGTACCAAATACAAAATCTGATTGCCGTTGAAATTAAAATAGTAATGTGCAGAACGTTTCGAGTTACATTTCCAGGGACAAATGAACAAATACATACAAATATTTTTGGGGGGATTTTTATTATAATTAAGAATTAATTAATTATGATTTACCATATGAAAAATAAAGCAAATACATTTAAAATCAAAAAACATAAACATAGAAATTGATAACATTACATTGCAATATGAATAAATACACCTAAATGAGCAGTTTGGAGTGCTTTAATGAACCAATCTGCATATTTCTTGGACTTTGGGAGGAAACCAGAACACATGTAAGAAACCAACATGAATTCGATGATGACCGGATGGTGTCTTCCTGCCTCATCCGCTTCTACTGTCGCATCTTTTGCAAGATCTTCTGCAATGGAACCCTGTCCTTCACAGGGATGATCTTTACCCACATGGCAGAGAACTCATTTTGGTAGGCGAGTCCCTGAAGCAGAATCTGTCCATGATGCCTGTGCAAAATACAATCCTCATTTAGCAATTTAGTCTCTAACACACACCCATGTTTGGACGGATATTCAACTCTCACAAAGTTGAACCAACCATTCAAGACTTGGTAACCCACCTGACATCTGGTGCAGCATCTACCGCCATCTTGCTGACAGCAGTAAGGAAACGCTCTGCGAAGAACTTCCCTGCCTCAAAGATCTGATCCATTCCGATGATGTCTGCGAGCAGTTGGAGGTGCCGAGCTGTGCTCGCCCTCACTGCAGGACAACGGTGTCTGAGAGAGGACAAAGAGAAGAGAATGTCAGATTTCTGTTTCATCTTATCCACTTTAAATGCTATTATACTTCTTGGTAAATGATTCTTACTTCGATCCCATGTTAAACAGAACGTTCATGATTCTGGCTGGGCTGGATCCCTGAACCAGTGCGTCCAGGGCGAGGTTGGCCTGCTGGTGGATGAAGGCGTTGGTTGTCTGGGCCAGCTTCAGCAGCAGGGCGCCCCCTGTCCGCTCCACCTCAGGGTCCATGATCTTTCCCAGGTGAGTGTGGAGATCTGCCACTGTGTCAATGGCAGCGCAGGACACGACCGAGCGCAGGTTACCCACCTACATGGTGAATAAGAACATAGGTCAATACCAGTGGTCTAAAGTAACTAAGTACATTTACTCAAGTAACATTTTGAGAGACTTCTGCTTTACTTGAGTATTTCAATCTTCAGCCACTTTGTACTTTCACCCTAATTAAATTGTGTACTTTTACGACCACTACAATTATTTAATATCTTTAGCTTTTGCAGATTTGGAATAATTAATGTGAAATACAAACAACACTTAAATAAGACTTTAGTTACACCTGTAAATTCACAAGCTACCCTGCAGTCCTTAAAAGTAGCTGCACCTTTACCAGCTCTGATAACACTTTAATGCATCAGTAATTATAATGAAACATAAAATATATATTATTCTGAAATGGGCCAAACCGCATAATGAGTACTTTTACTTTTGGTACTTTAAATATATTCTGATGCAAATACTTTTGTACTTTTACTTGAGTAACATTTTGACTGCAGGTCTTTTGCTTGTACAGTACTGAGTACTTCAGTCAACAAAGTTCAATAGCCTGCTTCTGCGTTCAGGAACATGCAACAGGAAGAAACAAAAACGTGGAAATACATGACCTCTTCTGCAAGCATTATGCAAGCTTCAGGTAGTTTCGTCAGTAGAACTGCCTGGTGGTGTTGCGCCAGAGCTCGAATAGCTTTTAATCCCAACAATTTTGTCTCCCTATTAGTTGACAAAAACAAATGCTTTAGGAATATTGTGTCAGCTGGTTATAATCAATCTCAACACCACTGCAGTGTTGATGTCTTACCATTCATCTGAGCGAACATTTATGAAACTGCTGACCAGGCCATTTGCAGGGTTGGCCAAAGGCTTAATCTGCTCTTGTGCGACGGCCTTTTGAGGGCGCAGTTTTGTACCACGGCGAGGCCCTTTCCTGCTTGGCAGGGCTGATTTTCTTGGTGGTGCGGGAACCTTGCGTGCCTCCACCTTGATGTGGCCATGAGGTGCCTCTTTTGGTGGGCAAGCTTTTGCAGGAGTACATTTGTTAGCTTTACATGCCACCCTTTTAGGCTTTGCGGGTGGTTTTGGTGGAGGATTGTCGGCAACTCTCAACTTTTCAATTGTCCTTTCAATTCTTACAAAGTTATCCTCCGCTGTTTGGAACTTGCAACCGTCGGCTACCTCCTTGCCTGTTCAGATTAAAAGCAAAATAGTCATGATTTCCCAGACACTTTATTGAAAATACAATTTGTTTCAAGTCATCCCTAAAAGCTATTTACATACCTGCTCCACCAAAATGTTGCAGTACCGGTAGACGAGATGGTCTCGCCTTTGGAGGGGGGGTAGGGCTTAAAGGTCCAAATTGTGATATGGCCCTTAGCTCATCAGGAGTGTGTGAGTCCACAGAGCTGAGGGGGCTTGGGATCCTGTATACCACTTTGGCCACTTTACATGCAAATACTGCCATCTGACCGCCCACACGCAGCTTTTTCTCGAAGAAGGGGTCGTCTTCCAAACACTCCTGGTTTGTATCGGACGCCCACCCCCTGTTCTTCTCCTCTGAAATGTGCCTGATCGTCCTGTATTGCAGAGGGGATTCAGGTCTCCTTGTTGGAGTAGTTAGACGCTGACGAAAGGTCCAGGTGTTAGGTCTATGGACAGAGAACC